ATTTCGGACGAAATAGCGTCCAGAGCAATCGCCATCTCGACGAGATTGCTCTTATTGAGCCTGTGGAGACCCCGCCAGTCCCTGACACGCATGCTCGAATCTTGGCACCTAATTTCTCCCAAAATGCGGTCACTTTGCCAGGAAGCTGAGCCTGGGAAGTATACAACATAAATTTTAGACTTTGGTACTTCTGCCTCGTTCACTACCTTAAGCTGGGCTCCTTCCCATGACTTCAAGGTTGGGATTGTCTCCTTAGACCAAAATACAGATTCGTCGTCCAGATAGTTAATGTTAAACCATCCGGGCTTAACACTGTAACAGGCAAAGTGAGACTTTACTCCAGGAGCTCTACAAGTTTCGGATATCTTGTCGACAACGCATCTGCACCTTACCAATTTCCTGCTAGAGTAGGCTTTGAACAGGGGTCTTCGGAAAAAGCCCTGTAATACAATCCGCTTTGTCGGTTTGCAGCTCGATGTTAGTGTAGAGCTGTACGATCGGCATCTTTTTGGTGTTGCCTGCCCTTCGTTAGTCGCGGTGGCCAGCTTTACTGCCAAAAATCTTGCTGTTTCCAGCGAGATGCCCTTGACAAGTAAAACCTTCAAAGCCTTTTGCGTCCAGCGTCGGATAGCTTCACGCTTGTTTGAATCTTTTAAATTGGACCAGGCTCAAAAAGATCTCTCTCCTGTTCCGAGATAATAGACAAACCAGCCGATTCCTGGCTAAGTGGAATGTCCATCTCCTCCGGCTTGTCGGGTAGAGGACCAGGTGCGCCTTCCAACATGTCGTGGTCCATTGGTTCACTGACGAGGGTACCGGGTGCCCCCTCGGCCAATGATAAGTTTTATCTGTGTAAAGCCATATTTTACACATTTAAAGGTGTGCAGTCCATAGAATTGATGTATTCAGATCCATACAAAAAGACGTTTTAACAAACCGTGCAGGTTAATCACCCATGAGTGCCCCATGGGCGTTGTATCAGAGTTTTGGGTGTCGCAGATAGAAACGAGAAAAGCCATGAAAACGAATAAGCCCAACTTACACTATCATGAACGGAACATGAACATGAAGTTGAAAACTGGTTTCCGATAGATGAGAGAGGGAAAAAAGTATGATGTGAGTTAATGAATTTCAAGCAGCAAAATTACCTGCTTATTTCAGCTTGACACGCATACATATGCAATGTTATGTTTATGTTTGCCTTTTAATGCTGAATATTATGAATTTCTGTGCTCTGCACTACTAGACACAAGCATTTTATACGTTTACACAAAACAGAACAAATTTCACGCTTCATGACAGTTCATGATAGTGCAAACTGAACTGTCAGTTCATGTTGTCGTCAAGTTCATTTCACGTTCATGATAGTGTAAATAGGCGCAATAGGGGGATATGTAATAAATATGCATAGTCTAATAAAAGTTATAAATCTTTTTTTAAAAACAATAAACAATTTTTTGGAAATGTTGTTTTGGGCATGGCTGTTTCAGTGTGCAGAATATCATGAAACTTATTTTGAATCTTAGTGACATAGTACAAGTGTTTAGTTCACCAAATTTCGTTTTTTTACCTATTATAGTTTTTGAGATATTCGAAAAAATATCCTTTGGAAAGGTTCGGAATCCTTTTGAAAGGGCTCAAAATACATCCAAAAGAAAGCCCATCTTAAAAACAATATTTAAGGAAAACATAGAGATGCCAGTAGAAATGTTTCATATCAATATCACTACTGGTTTAGAAAATACCGAATTGTGACAGTCTAAGTTTAAATGTGCGACACTGTGCGGTTGATAGAAAATTGAATATGAAAATGTTTTTATTTCTGATAAATAATATAAAACTTGTTTTATTTAATTTTCTATTTCTACTTACATTTGCATATACCTTCATTTAATATTTTGTTCAACCTTCTACTTCCTTAATTTTTTCTTTGTAATTTCTCATCGAATCACTTGGTATAATCATCACTCAGCGCTCTGTATCGAGTTCAACAATAACGATGGGAAGAGCTGGAATGCATTTACAGTAGTTTCAGAATAATCGATACCAGCTTATTTGTAATACTTTTTAATTGCATATTTATCAATGAAATCTTTTTTTATCTTTCGATATAAGCGAAATGTCCCCATATAGTTGAAACCTCTTTCTTTGAAATATCCTTTTAATTGAAAATTAATAACATTTTAATTAAACCATAAATTTTTTTTTGTATTATTTCATTAATATTACAACTATCTTAGATATCTAGTAATACTTTTAACAAATGGAAATTTGGAAGTTTCAATTATCTCAAATCATCATTTAAGACAACATGTTAATGATAATGATATATTTCATACAAATTTCAATACATTTCATAAATAATTAGTTAATAAATACATAAGTAAATAAATAAGTAAATAAAATAAATAACTAAATAGATAAATAAATATATAAGTAAATAAAATAAATAATTAAATAAATAAATAAATAAATAAATAAAAAGATAAATACATAAATAATAAATAATAATAATAAATTAATAAACATAAATTAAAGTAAAGGGTTCAACTTAATTTCATTTTTAATACTTAAGTATGTTGGAAGTGTACGTTGAACACGTTTTTTGTACCCTACTTCCAAGACAGGAAGTCTTCTTATTTCTAGGTTTAAATGCTGAAGCAATTTAGATAAGTGGTTAGCACTGCCTTTTTGAATTGTTTCGTGTACAGTAGGGATATTCAGGTCTTTTGAATATCGTCGTTTCTGATATACCATCAAGCATCTACTATCGTTCGCAGGATATTTGATTGCAGCCTTTGGATAGTATTTATATAAGTCTTGCAGGTGGTTCCCCATATTTCAATTTCATATTTCCAGATGGGAACAATAAACAATAACAGTTTTGTAAAATAGTAATTTGTTAACTATTGACAGACTGCAATTTTTACCAAAAAGTCAATATAGATTTAAAATCTTCGATGAGCTTCCTTTTTCTTCTGAATTATGTGCTCCTTCCAAGTAAGCTTTTAGTCTAATATCATAGAAACATAAATTAATAACTCTGAAATAAGAAAAGTATAAAAAATTTTAGTATATTTGTTAACATTTAAAAATTGGAAAAATGGACAAAGTCAGAGACCAATCCTAAATAACAAACTTTTTTCTAAGAATCTAAACTATGTATTGTAAAATATGAGAAAGAGTACATACATAATCTATTTAAAATAAATAAAAATTTTTACCATTATTTTTATTGTTTCATTTTCTTTTGAAAAGCTCGTTTAACTGCAAATTCGTTTCAATTATCCATATAGTCTCTTAATTAAAACAATGTTGCACATTTCCGAATACTTGGTTATTTGAATTTCTAGCTCGCAATTAAGCGGGAACTATTGTACAACTATTGAAACTCAATAATCGTCTCTGACATCTGTTACTAGCGAGAGCTTTCAGTTTCACATACAAGTATACGGTATATTCTTATGTTTAACTATCTTATAGTACACCTATACCTTTAGGATCACAACTGCTACCTCAGTGGCTAAACGTTATTGAAATTATACCCATATATTGATTGGTTTCAATTGCCTCCTATGCTCAATCACTCTTCAGTCAATACAACCTAATCTTGCAACATAACCTTTTGGTTTTTGTTTGCCAGATTTTACAAAGGATCGTGAAATGATAGGGTTAGTGAATCTATATTAATCACATTTTTGTAATGGCAATTGTATGCACTTAATGTGAACATTTTAAATAACCGTCATTTGATAATATAACATTCGGTCACTTAAGCGTCCTTGCAACTAAAGCTGCACTGGTGGGTCTACGAATCAACATAAGTAAAACAAAGGCATGCATAATTAAATCAAATCAAGCTCCCACTTTCGCAATCAGTAACACCAACATTGAAACCGTTGAAAATTTCTGCTACCTTAGAAGCATAATAAATACAACGGGAGGCGCATCCATTGACGTACGAAACAGAATTAACAAGGCAAGATCTGCATTTGCAACTCTCCGTAACATCTGGAGCTCAAGCGAACCATCTCCGAAGTCTAAAATCAATGTACATAACGCATGTGTCAAATCGATTTTGCTGTATAGCTCTGAAACATGGATGATGACCATTGAAACTAGCCGCATGCTGCAGTCTTTTACCAACAGATGTCTGCGAAAAATATTAAGAATTTGGTGACCATTTGTGGTGGACAATGAAACGTTGTTGCAACTCACAAACCAAGAAAACATAAATGAAACGTTGTTGCAACTCACAAACCAAGAAAACATAAATATACAAATAAACCGACGGAAATACAACTGGTTCGGGCACACATTAAGGAAACCCTATGAAGAGGTCTGCCATGCTGCCCTACAATCGAATTCACAAGACAATAGAAGACCTGGCAGGTCTCGCACCATATGGAGAAGAACAACAATCCGGCAGGAAACTAATAAATCATTTAACCAATTGAGACATTTAGTATTAAACAAAAGTATTTGGCGATTCTATGTAAATAGTCTATCTTCCTGATGGAATACGGCTAATATTATTATTATTATCACATAAGCGTCGCTCAATTCTATTCTAATTGTTACGGCTAATTTTTATCTGTAATTGATTTGGGTCAAAATAATTGTAAATTCAATACCAAAGTCAATTTTTGTGATGTAGAAAAATTTTTTTAAACGCAGAAAGTATTAATGTTGCGATAACATTGTGTGAATTAATTTTTTTCTAAATTTACTATTTAGTCCTGGTGATCAGTTGGACATAGAAATTCGCTTATTAGAAATTGTTTACTTTACCAATTCATTTTGCAATACATGTAACTTTTTATGGTTTGTTCATAACAGAATTGTGTTCCATTATTACTACTAATCCAATAAGTATGTTTAAACTCCGGTCTCCACACGCCATGAACTATAAAATAATAAACAATGAATTTATTTTAATAATTTTTATTATATTAATTTTAATGTTTAAAATAGCACATACAACCCAATAATTATAAAAAAAAATTTAGATTGTTTAGAATTATAAAAGGTGTTTAGTAAATCTGTAAACAGCTATATATATATATTGTATATTTGCTATTTTTACTTTTCTAACATTGTTTTGGTGATATGATAATCCTTAAACACAAATGTAATTTATCAACAAAAATGAAAAATAGTTATACTTAAAACGAAACGTATGTGCTAAAATATTTTATGTAATTTAATCTTCGTTGTCAGTATGCCATGACAAACGTTCTTCGTAGAACTTAATAACCATTTGTGGCATTTTTAAATTAACAACAGATGCAGGAATCATTTCGGCTTGATCGACTCCTCTAAACTGAATAAAAAAAGTTAGTGAACCATTGGAGTCCGAGGCACCAAGAATTTTTTCAGCAACTAGACCTTTATCAAAGCCATACACCTCATTTTGCCCTACAAACCCATCAGGTTTTACATACTTTTCAGATTCACGACGCTTCTTCTTATTTGCAGAATTGCTGCTACTTGTGCCGGAGTCTTTAGGCTCACGCTTGTTGCTGGTCGAACTGAATGGACGATTTGACGTATCTTTTGCTTCAGACTTTTGCCTAGCACCGGCTTCATCCTTTGTACGTTCGGCCTCATATTGTTCTATTAAATCTTGACAATATAAATGTTCTTCAGGGTCCCAAGTATTCTCTTCCTCAGAATATCCTTTCCATTTTAGAAAATACTCAAACTTGCCTTTTCTAACACGACGACCGCATATCTTTTCCACAACATATTCTTCTTCTTCCTCGTCTTCTGATACCTCGACATTATCATCAGTAGCTTTTGAATTAGTAACTTTTGCCTTCTTACCTCCTTTCATCGTAATTTGCTATTATTTTTTAGATTTTAATAAATTAATTTATTAAAAATTCTTGAAAAAATATAATCGCTCCAAATGAACTCAAATGATAAATTAACCAAGCGACGCTATGCATAGATACACAGCTATTCATAGCAAACATGAGTGTTGGAAAATGTCAACAAAATAAAATTAGGCTATGTTTAATAAATTTAAAAAATAAATGCCAACTTAAATTGTTTTTCATCTATTATAAAGTCGTACACTAGGCGTATATTATACTATAGTAACACTTCTAGCCCGTTCAAGCAGGAACTGATTCATTGCAATATATAGAAATATCGCAGTTAATAAAAATAGGCATTCCAGCTGGCCATTTTGCTTAATTGTAATTAATGAAACTAAATAAAATTTAGTTACTACTTTGCTAATTACATATTTCCAATTCAACACAAATTGTTTAAAAATATAATATTTCATTGTTAAGGTGTGAAAAAAGTAATAAGAAATATAAATTATTCCTATATTAAATATTTTTAAGATTTATACAGATATATCGATAAAATGAATTGTATGAAACCAGACAGAGATTGCTTGAAATTAAAAAAAAAAGATAATTATTCTAATAATGCCAAAAGAAAACAGTTTTTAATATTATTATTAAATAGTTAAAAAGGGATGTGGATTACATAAAATATAAAAAACCATTAAACGAGTGCTTAATATTAAAAGGAAAATTATTCTTATAATGCCAAATGTACACAAAATTGTTTTTGATATTGGCTTTTGATATTGTTATGGTTTGTTTAATACTCTCATTCAAAGTATTATATATTACATATTTTTCATTCCAAATAAACATTTCTTTCTTTCTTTTTATTTTAAATAATGTGTGTATACATTTTTTCCGTGTTTTGGAAACAAACTTTTTTCTATTAATTCAAATTAATTGCATTTGTTCTAAATACCTTTTGGCTGCATTATATCACATGCTAATTTTTCTTACGTGCTTGTACGAACAAATCAAATGTTTGTACAATTTTTACTATTGCTGAGAACAATTCGCGCGATGTGTTGTCTATCGTGCGAATATTTTAATAAAGAAACTATT